CAATTATGCACGGCTAGATAAAATGTGCTCTCGAATGCAGGGATGTACCCTTTCCTAAACTGTGTCTACTGTTCTGTGAACTCTTATCTAGCATAAAATGTGCTCTGTTTTCCTAAGAATCTGACCAAAGTGGAAGCGTTTCGATGCTTAAGGCCAGAAAAGGTTCCCTGCTAGACCACCCAAATCTGAAGAGGAGTTTATAAGAAACAGGAGTCACCTTTTTTTTTGTGTGGGGGGTGGGGGGGGGGGGGGGGCAGCACCTCTTTCATGTCCGCAGCGTGATATGTTGCGCACATTCATTCGGTGTACGCACGCACACTGACTTGTCTGTCATCGCAGCCTCCTCGTGGCAGCCTCTACCATCCTTCATAGCTTTCTATCATCTGCTCGTGTACAAATACACAGTAAAATAGCGTTCTTTCTCATATCATGCAAATGCACATCCACATACACAACTCTCAGAACTATTTCCAGCCACATACACGCAGACTTCTTTAGCATACATAATAATCACTGTGTGTTCGTTACGTACCACGTAAGCCCACAGCAGATCTTTAGAACACAGAACGTTCAGCTGAAAAATTCAATTTTATGCAGAAGTATTCTTTTCACAATATAATTAAACATCAAAGGCAGGACTATTCCTCTGTGATTGAGCAGCACTCTGGTGAATCAACTCCATACACCACCTTCCACTTTACAGCGGGAAAGAAAGTTGCCAAGCGTCACTGCTAATTACAAAATAGAGACAGAAGCAAAGTTAAATTCATTATGCAAAAACCAGGACTCGTACGCGTTGGGTACGTTCAGCTAATGCCAAATATCATAACCTCTTTGAGGGTAAAAATGACTTATCTGGAGCTGGTTTATTTGCTTTATTAAACTATTTTTTTAGCCAAGTAAATGAAGCTGAGAAAGAGAGTACGGAAAAAACGAAATGAGAAAATGTTTGACTTCATTGACTCAAAATTAACACACTGCTGTGTAATAAAACGGGCTGATATTACTTTTTTATTATTATTGCTGAAGAGTTACAATGAAAATAAAGACTCTGTGTTTCTTTTTGAGCTCATGAAACTTAGGAGATAGTGGTAAATGTTTGGTTTAAAGATATATTATGACTTTTGTTTTTTTTGGGGGGGAATAGAACACATTTAGATTAATGACTATTCATTACTATATATATATTTTTTTTCATAATGCCTACCTTTGCTTGAAGATCAATAATCATTCATCCCACTCCACGCAAAAGTGTAATTTACCTAACTGCAAAAAAAAAAAAAAAATCCTAGTGATTATTAGGACAAATCTAAAGACAATACATTTGTGCTTTGGAGGGGTACACAAACTGTGCCTGTAAATGCCTCTGACAATCGGCTCAAGTAGCTCAGCCAATCAGAGTGACACGTGGAGAGCTGATCCCTCTTTGAGAGAAGTGTAAGGCCATGTTGTCACTGTTGGTTTTGTGAATCGACAGAAGCCTAATCCCCAGTGATTTCCTATACGACAGGTCTGAGGACGACCGCTCATGTGTGTGTGTGCGTGTGTGCGCGTATATGTGCACGGCTATGAGAGGACTCTCTGAGTGTAATCATATGAGTCCACATGTGAGTGTGTTCATTTTCCTCTTGGGCAGATTAAGCAAACACTAAATCCCAGGAGAGCAACAGGTGAGACACTCACACACACACGTACATGCACACACATACAGGAGCTTCATTGATTGTGTCGCCTGTCTGACAGTATAGTCTGAAAAAGAGTGCACTTGTGGTAGAAGTGACAGAAATACAATACGTGACGCCTTTTTGCGTGGAGAAATTGTATCTATAGTCAAAATTTAGCTTAAACTGTTTTTTACAAAAAACAATGACATAACATATTATTTCACGGTAATTTCCTATAAGCACAGGAATGCTACAAAAAATTGAGTACAAAAAAGTGACAAAAAATAACTCCTGTTAATTAAACAATCACATTCATTCATTTACATCTGTATCTATCTTCACCTTTACTTGTTAAAGTATGCAGATTGTCACATTTTAGCAGATACCAGTTTATTTTGTTACTTCAAAATGTAATTAGATTATAACAGCTTCTTACAACTGCTCACACACAAACACAAATATCACACACACACACACACACACACACACACACACACATATATATATATATATATACAGACAAATACGCACTTATTTGCCTTGATATATACTTTAATATTTATGGTTGCATGAAATGAAACTTGACCCTCAACTTAACTGTTCTCTCTAGATTTAATTGGGAATAATAGGCTATATATATATATATATATATATATATACACCACACACACACTCACAAATTTGTATGTCTATAAACTTGTTTTAAGCAAATACACTCTTAAGTTTAAGCTTAGGCTACTGAGGAGAAGAACACATAATTAACCCTCATAAAACTGAACACTGAATATGGACTTTTGGATATATAATAAACGGATGGTCTCTCAGCCTGAGTTAGTGTAGTATTTAATGACTTTGTTGCTATTCTTGATCAGAATCAGGATGCTGTGATTTTTTTTTTTTTTTTTTTTTTTTTTTTTTTCGTGAGTTTTTAGTTTTATTTATGTGTGGATTTGCTACCACAAGTTTGGTCAAATAATTTTTTTAGGCAGTAGCACATGAACTAGCCTACCTGCATATAGTCTGATAATAGAAAGCAGAAATGAATATTGTCACACGAATGAATGTTGATCATATTTGAACGCCAGTTTTAATTCAATACTGCATTTTTAGTCTGATGACCCTCGGACCTTCACACAACATCGCACAGCTCTTTGACTGTATTCGCGACGGCAGTAACAGTACATCCATGCATGACCTCTGTAAAGTGGTTTGGTTTATTCTGCGAGCCGATAAAGCACTTTACAAGACCCAAACAAAAGCACGCGCCTGTAAACAAAAATAATAATACGTCTACATAGGCTACAGAAACACTAATAGTGACATGTGTTGTCATGTCAACTTTCTTAACGGAGCTACTTTAACTCTCTACCTTATGATCTCACGAAATAACGGTGATGTTAACTCATTATATTATTGTTTACTTAACAACAATGTCACACAATGTATCAACGAACAAACACACACCGGTGTAGGGTATCAGTGTCACACTTACTTCATGGCGCGTCTGAAGTGTGTCCGGTGAAGTTTGTCCTGCGGTTTGAAGGAAGGTGTTGAGCCGCCGGGTGGACTGGTGCTTCACACTTAAAATCCAGCAAAAATCACCAGCAGCACCTGGGAAAAGTGTCGTTTTCTAAATGCGTGTTTCTTTTCTCGTGTCTAATAAAGCGTTTCAGATGCTGAGGTTGGTGTCGGTCGTCCACGGTGAGGAATGATTAAGCCGTTATTGCGACTGATGATGTTGAGCTCCGCGCGCGCCTCTCTCTCTCTCTCTCTCTCTCTCTCTCTCTCTCTCTCTCTCTCTCTCTCTCTCTCTCTCTCTCTCTCTCTCTCTCTCGCTATACGCAGGGCAAATAATCGGGTTTACTCTTGAAGGGGGACGGGCTTACATCACTCCAGTGTTTTAATGAAAGAAGCGCAACACTAATGCGTTTTTATCTCCTACCTGATCAAGTTAAATCACACCGTGTATTAAACTGTGCACAGACACAATGGTAGGCTACCTTTAGCTTTGTGACTTTTAATTTCATTTGTACCCAGAGTTTTTTTTAACAATGTGATATTATGAGATAATAAGTAGATTTTTAATTAATTTTATTGAACTGAATATTTTACTATAGCCTATATTATGTAGGCCTAATTGTTAGGGGATAGAATATAGTTTGCACAGTATAAAAAGTAATGTCCCCTTAAAACATGAAAATCCAAGTTATTTATGTGTGTGTGTGTGTGTGTGTGTGTGTGTACCCGGTGGGGACTTAAACCTAAATGCACACAGACTCATGGGGACTTGTGTCACTGTGGGGACCTAAATTGAGGTCCCCATGGGTACACAAGTTTATAATTCATACAGAATTAGTTTTTTTGAAAATGTAAAAATGCAGGAAGTTTTCTGTGAGGGGTAGGTTTAGTGTAAGTAGATGAAATATACAGTTTGTAATTTAAGTTTGTAAGTTCTTTCGAAAACCATCTACGAAGCATTGCTCCAATGAACTCAGATCTGAAGAATCTATAAAATAACACAAAGGACTCAAGACAACTCAAGAGAGTGAACATTTCTCATATAAGCATTAGTGCCCTCTCACAGCCCAGCAAGACAACCCATCTTCTCACCATATATTTAAATGAGGTTCCTTATCACTGGAGATAAGTACTTTAACACATGCTAAACATGAATAAATCACAGACAGATCTGTCCCACCATGAATGGATTTAAACACATCTACCAATGAATTAAAATATGAGAATTAGCTAAACCAAAGACCATCCTGTGAATGTTCAAAATAATGGTTGAATTCACTTTTAAGGGGTTGACAAAAGAACAGAAACTATCATATTGCTGTTTTTTTTTCAGTTCCCCATCTTAGAGCGGTCATCTGAATTGCTTCACACTGATATTTCATTGTTTCATAAAATGAATGCTTTAGAATTAACCATAAGCACCACTTGAGTCACTGACAGACAAACCAGAGGCAGAGGTAAAACATGAAATCAGTAAATGAATTAATAAAACCTGCTAATCTCCCTGACAGACTGTAACTGGACCCACGGGCATCAGCTTCCCTGGGATCCCACTTCTGGGTCACACGACACTGTAATCTTGAATTCCATTTTTATTGGTAATTTCAATATCTAGATCAATACGCCTTCGGTTCCACCAGCTATATGATAGCACATGCTAAGTTTCATCAGATTCTCTGTTTCACCATACGTATATTTACATGGACAGTTCATCACACTATATCAATGAAAATATCTTTAGCCTCAAGCTCAGGCCACAAACTAATTTTTATTAATCGTACGTCCATTTGAAAAGCATGTATATTACGTTATACCCACCGTGTTCACAATTCCTTCAGTTCTTCCAGCTCCAGTGCACAGTTTCAGCAGGAAGACCCTCTTAGGTTTCAGTGTGCGCTTGTGTTTGTTTAGTTGGCACCTGGTGAAGAGACACAAAGGGAGAGAGAAATTCTTTCTGTGTTAATAGCTATATCTAGGCACAGTGTTCAAGACACACTGCATGGCTGGGTGAACTACAAAAGGAATAAATAAATATATAAACACCGTTATTGAGTTGCCTCTTGCATATTCATGTGGTTGGTAAACTAGATAAAGAACAGGAAGAGGAACAGAAACAACAGTAACTACAGCAACTATACCGTATCTCATTGATGTAGATCTGAATAAGAATTTGCAGTTTAAAACATAAATAATCATTTGCCTTAGATATCAGCTTGATATGCAGAGAATCGCAATTATTACACATTTGCAAGTAAATATTTAGGGCCCGAGCACCGATGGTGTGAGGACCCTCTTGGAATTGCTCTGTTTATTACATTTTGTTCCTGTCATATCCTGCCATTCTCTTTGATGCCTCTTTTTTCCCTCTCTCTGACCAGTTTGGGCTGTTATTCGCACAGTTTAAATTCTACAAAGAGGAGTTTTATACAGAAAGTTGTTTAATGGATGATTTACTTTTCTTTTAAAAACTATATATATATATAAAGTTCTCACCATATATATATATATATATATATATATAGTTAAAGGTGCCATTTATGTAACACTTTAAGACCAAATAAAATCTATAACATAATTGTAAAATACATTTAAATAATTAGATATGTTTTAATATTTGGTTTTATTTAGATTGGTAACTTTCACTACATTAGTTCAGTCTACTAAGCATTGTGCAGTAGAGCTGACTAATGAGTTTGTTCAAATTTTTAAATTTGCCTGTCGTGTCAAGACACTCCCCAAAGGCACTTTACTGTAATATCTCAAAAGGGGATTTATGTCAATTGAAACATTAAAAAAAAATGTTAAGTTAGGTTTCATGACCTAATTTACAAACAGACAGACACATACTGTATACATGCACACACATGAATTATTCTCCCTCTTGTTTTCCTTGGCTGTCGTTCGCTACCAGACTGTCGGTCCAAACTGAACCTGCTTGCCATCACTCAGGATCAACAATCCGATTTCCAGTAAGTTCAAAGCCACAAGGAAAGTGTCCAGTAGCAGTTATGTCATTTCGTATACACATACAAGAGGCTTTTCAGAGAAAGGTAATTTTGAGGTTTCGACCTCATCTGTTCATGTTTGTAATGAGCAGATGTAAGAAGATGGAAGATAAATACACAATGTTAGTGGCTGACAACAATCCCGCCTACGTTGTTTTCTTTTCGGGAGCCCAGTAGTTACCCACGTGTGTCTTATTATCTTCAGTCAGACATAAGTAGCGTGTTCGGGGAGGATATGGGACAAGGCCTCTATTTCGTTTTATTTTAAGAGCACGATAAACATCAACACATTTTCTTTGGCAAACAGGAACAAGCAAGGCTGTTAATGTATGAGTGTGTGCGTGAGTATACGTGTGTAATCTGTTGCTGATCACACTCATGTGAAAACACAATCTGTCTGTCACCATCAAGTGCTCAAACACCAGCGCTGAGCTTTCACAGTGCAGGAGAACGTTGGGGATGAGCCTGTCTCCCAGGTCTGGCCAGATCATAGATTCTTCTTTTCCCCTCCTTGCTTATCTCACTCCTCCCCTCCCCTCCCCTCCCCTCTCTCTCTCGCACTCTCTCTCTCTCTGCCACCTTTAATCTCACCCATTTCCCTTTTATTGCCCTCTTTTCTCTCCTAAACATTGAAGATTTAGACAGATAGACACATACAGACAGGTAGAGGAAAAACACATGTACTAACTGGGGTATTTATGCAGCACAAAGTTATGTAAGAGTCTCAAAAAGAGTTTAGAAATGGCTTAAGATGGCTACGAAATGGCACTTTAGTTTCTGCCTCAGTTCAGTATGCATTTATATCTAAATTATAGTTCTGTCAATCGATTGAAAACATAGCCAATTAAGCGCACATTTTTCTGTAATTAATCACGATTAATCACACCTACCATTAAAGTTTTTAATATATTTTTATATTGTAATTATTTTGCATTTAATCTCCAAATTAATGTAGAAACAACAAAGACAGTAGCCTATATTTTAAATATTTGTTTAATTGCATCACTTTTTGAAAGAAGGCCACTATCACTGATACGACTGCTGCTAATGTCTCTATGAAAGAGATCCCCCCCCCCCTCAAATTTAGACATTAATTATAGGCATTCAGCATTACATAATTGAAAACATTTGAACATTTATTAGGCTTTAAAAAATATAACAACTTTTAATTTAAGTGAATAATAAAAAAAAATCTTAACATAAACCCATTTTAATAAATGCCATTTACCTGTACTCTTCAATATATCAGGGCACATTTTTTTTTCTATTGGCCCAGTCAGACCAGTTCAGATTTTTACTTGCCCTGTGAAAATTCACAAAAAGTTGTTTTCATTGTCTTTTATCCATGTAACCTCGTAAACAGTGCTTTAAGATTTTCAGGTAGATCTAACAGGGTAAACAGAAATTGAATAAAGTTGTCAAAAACTTCACAGTCTTCCCAGCATAAATTTAAAAATTAAATATAGATGAATCCTTATTAAGCTACAAAAGTTATTCAGTCAAGACAAGTGAGGGATTTTCTCTTTTTCTTTTGTTCTTTGATTAACATTGGCACAGCAGTAAGTTAATTAGGCTGCTGTCACTTTAAGACCATAAAGCACATGACACACGCATCCCATTTTCTCACAACTCTTTACGTTCAATTAAGACTTAATTAAACTAATTTAAGACTGTGCTTGCGAGGATACTCGACAAAACAGGCAATTTGGCATAATTTTGTGTGTTTTTGTCCGTTCAAGCGCTGTCTGAAGCTGCTTTTCTGTGCGCGTGAGTCGTTTGTGTCTGTCACACAGACGTGCGCCAGTGCCACGCTGCATTCTCTTTTGTGTCTGATCACACTTCAATGGGTTAAAAGCATTTGCCTGAATAAGAGCGTGGTCAAATAATGTAACGCTAGCCATAGGATGACGGGAAAAAATGTATGTAAATATAGTAAGTAGGTAAGCAAAGTAAGTAGGCCGAAGTGAGTGAGTGAACAAATCAATCAATCATTCAATCAATCAATTTGAAACTGACTTTTGAAACTTTCCCTTCAAGTTATTCATATATTTATGTGTCAAAATCCAGGCAGGCAGATATTACTTTTATATTATATTACTTTTATATCTTAGGCCATATTATATCACTTTTCAGAAATTGTTATCTATTTGAATAGATAGATAGATAGATAGATAGATAGATAGATAGATAGATAGATAGATAGATAGATACAACAGGCCTCTGCATGTTTACCTTTACTCATACAGATTCATTAATTCAATTATTTTGTAACCACCCAGCTAACTAATTAAATCAGTGCCATCATTTTGTCAAGGTTTTTTTTTTTTTTGACAATTTGTGGGCAGGCAAACAAGTTCAGCAATAAGTTCTCAAGGGAAGCTGAGATCTCATTTTACATTAGCTCCTCTGACCCTTCAAAGTCTTTATCTACAGCAAGCAATTTTACATGTAGTTGTAACTTTCAATCCATCTCAAAGTAATAGTGCAACTTTAACTTTTCCAAGCATGTAACTTAGAAACTTCTGAAAGCGCATAGCTGATGAATTCATCACGGTTTGAGCCCTCTCTTCATTGCATTTAAATAACACCTGAGCACGCTAACGCATATTGTGGTTGGAAGAAAACCGGTAGTGAAGTGTTGACTCGTGTGGGGACAAATTTGGTAATTTGCATGTTCTGTTGGGCAAACAGCGCGTGAACGCTACACCTTTGATTCATTATAAATGAACCACAAGCAGCACAACACGGTTAAGCCTTTGTGCAGGATGCTGCTGCTCTGGTTTCAGTATTAAAGCTGTGTGCTGGAAAAAGCCACCCCAGTTCCAGTTACCCTGCACTCTACTGAAGTCTTTATCTCCCCTGTCAATACACCTGTACTCTGTCCCACTTGCTAATGGAGGCCTGAATAGGAGTTAGTGTCAAATGACAGTAAAAGTTAAAATCTATATTTACTTTAGCTCCAAACATGTAAAAGCACAGCTTAAAGGGCAATTTCTTGGAAAAGCTCTCTGCCTTGTGAGTAAAATGTGTAACTGCAATACATACCTCTGCCAGCAGGGGCACACTAAGGCTTTCTCACAGAAGAGTCAACCCTCTCCATCATAACTAAATACAATAGTTTAACTGTAAGTCAAATCGATACAGCAGCAAGCATACGTTGACTCACAGTAACATGCATTTATTTAAACAAATAAATAAATATGAGGTACAAATCTCTCAATAAATGCACTGGCACTTACTCTCTGTCCCATACTTAGACCACCTCAAATTGTCAGTCTCTTTATTTCAGAAAGTCTGCTGCTTCCTAAATTACGCAGTTGATTAAATCACATCTTATTTTACATCTTTGTACATTTTACCATTTAGCTCAAAGTTCCCTTTGTCTGTCTAATGTTAAAAGCTGGAAAAATAAAAATATTTAAAATAAAATCATACTCTAATGATTTTTCCTCCTTTGAACGGTGAAAACTAATTCACTCATAACCTCTTCAAAACTTGCACAGTTATTTCATTGTTTCAATTTTTTTTCCCCTCAACGGCGACACTAAAAAAGATGCCAACATCACATTTTTCTGTCTCCAGACTTACAGTGCCAACCGGTGTTTCCTGAGCTTGTGCAGAAGTCGGGTCTTAACAGATGGTGGGCATTATGGACAGGCAATGGAAATTCTACCTGTATTTTCTTATGTATATTCCTAACTGGTCACATAACAGTTGCTATACCAGACAGTGTAGATTATCTGTGCGGGGGGTGGTTACGTACATGTATAAGTATGTCTGATGTGTGTGTGTGTGTGTGTGTTCTAAGAGAACGTTTCTGTCCCAAACTCTTATTAGACATCAAATATAGTTATTTTACTCTTTCATCCCTTCACTTTTTGTCTGTGTTGTTCTCTCATTCTCTCTCTTTTCTTGAAACTGCTGCCCAGTTACACTCGTGCACACTTCAGGTGGTAAAGAAATCAAACTCTCTTGCTTTCTCTTCTCAGACTGTAGTAAAAAAAAAAAAACCAAAAAACAGGACCACTGTCCTCTTGACCCGAGGACATGAACTGAGAAGCCCCTCTTTATGCCACATAAACTACAGAACAGACTGGATCTTAGGTCTACACCACAATGGAAAGGTTGTGCTATTATAATAGCCTTACACGAAAATTACTCAAACCAAGATTTTACAAGGCATACGTTTACAAGTTCACCCAAAAAAGAAAACTCATTTCTCAAGTCATTATTTTATCTCCTTCATGTGAGAATACAAAAATGTACACTACCATTCTAAAATGTTTTAATGTTTTTGAAAGAAGCCTCATACGCTCACCTAGGCTGCATTTATACTGTGATGAATAAAATACAGTAAAAAGTGTAATATTGTGAAGTATTATTACATTTTAAAATAACTGTTTAAGAAAAAAAAGGTTATACTGTATTTTAAGGTGTCTTTGTTACAGTGTAACTATACATGTATTACTTTCTTTCTTTGGGAAAAAAGGCTACACTTTATTTGGTAACACTTTATTTTACAGCGACCCTGTTAAACATTTTACATGTAGTTACTATAGTAATGACAGTCAATTATGCAAAGTTACATGCAACTAACCCTACACCAAACCTTAACCCTAATTATAAAGTAAGTACATGTAGTTAATCACTATTACTTAGTACTTAATTGTATAATTACACTGTGACAAGGACACATAACCCTTTATTTTAAGGTGTCTCTGTTGCAGTGTAATGGACTGAGCAATATTAATTAAATACATGCACTTATCGTTAGGATTAGGGTTTGGTTTAGGGTTAGTTGCATGTAGAGTAGTTGTGCATATACTTTACTATAGTACCTAACTACATGTAACATTTATAACAAAGGTACTGTAAAAAATGTTACAAAAAATAAATAAACCAAAAACCATACTGACCCCAAACTTTTGAATGTAGTCATTATTCACAGAATATCTTGCTTTGAAAAATTTTTTCACTTTTTTTTTTTCAATTTGTGGAGGTGGAATGTCATATTCATCATTAACGTTCTTTGTATGGACAAGAACAGCTTGGACATTTTGTTAAATGTATCCTTCCACATAAGAAAGAAAGTCACACTGGTTTTAAAGCACATCAGTGTGGGTAAATAATAACATCATTTTCATTTTTGGTGCCTTTGTAGATATGCGGTGACTTTTTAAAGGTTTCATCAATACGAGACACTTTAGATAAGTCATGGTTGGATCTCAAATTCCCATTATATTTACAGGGAAATTCACTCATTGACTACTTAGACAAAATGAAACGTCAGAGGTTTTTAACAAGTCAGAAAACCACCTTTACACACACACGCCCGCAGAAGCTTCACACTGGAGAATATAGAAGCATATGAGCGCTGAGTCTTGAGAAGTGAATCTGGCTGTACACATACCCGCGCAGCGTTGCTCTGCTGAACGGATGCCGCCTAAACCTCTTTGTGCCTGCAATAGCACCCCAGACTCATTCTTATTCAAACAAGATGAGACTGGAGGCAGGCAACAGAGATTAGCCTGAGATCAAAAGGCGGTGAAGCACTCGTGTTTTGTAGATTCAGACGGGCCCCATCCAACATGTAAGACCCACGGAGGAGCTGAGCGGAGCGGAGCGCTGCGCCGATGCCACCCTCTCCAAGGGGCAGAGGAGTGGATGAGCAGAAACAGAGAAAGAGAATAAAGAAAGGAGCAACGTCAGACGGCCAAGACTACAGCTCCAGTGTGAAATATTGGAATTAGATTATGAAAAAGAGAGAGGAGAAAGAAAAGTAAGCCGTCACTGTGAGCAATTATAGGTTAAAGATAATCCTCCATTTTTTTTCAACGCTACAGAGATGAAACTGTTTCCATGTGTTTAATATGTCACCGTTTGTTTTAAATATAAGATTCTCCTCCAATAGAGAGTAATGTGGAAGCATGAAACCTAAGAACATGGCATCTGGATCTGCAATATGCAACATAAGGATGGTAACTACTGCGACGCCTGCGTGCCAACTTCGATTAATATAAATAAATGTGGGGGGTTCATTTCTCAACACCATATATGTTTCGTAGTTGTAGACTGCATTAGTGCACAAATAGGTCTGTTTATGGCGCACCAGTAAAGCCGAGTGGCTTCAGTTCTTAGCTAAAGTCAGATCACTTATGCTTTTAAATGCTCTTATATATGAGCAAAAGCAAACAAGGCTGACTGCCATATTTGTGTAATTTCAGGTTAATTTGGGGCTATTACAAATTTTGCAAATAACACAGGAGCCTGCGGGAGCTGGGAGAAGAGGACTAGTGCACGGAAACACACACACACACAAACAGGCAGACAAACTGAATCCTGACATAGCCACTGGCGAATAGACAGAGAAGGGTTCAAAAAGAAAAGGGTGCCTCCTCTACAAAGTGCACCACCTTTGCTGCGAGAAAACAACGCTCTTTTCCAACCACAATTCAGATCAAAGATTTTTATTTATTTATTTATTTTGGTAGCGAGAAAGTTTTTCAAATGACAAACATGGGAGCTTTGGTAAACTGGGTCAGAGCTGCCTTGCCGGTGTCTCCATGGGGTGGGTTGGTGGGGGGTGCTGAATGTCACACCCTGAACACCCAGGAAGAGAGGGATTAGATGGCAGAAAGCTTGCAAGGGATGCTTTCTTAAAAATATGCTGCCTCAGAAATATTGTTCTCAGAATGCAAATAAACTATAGAGGAAGAAGCAGATTGAATCCCGATTTTATTCTCAAGGGACTAAGCTGATGTCAAAACTAAGCGTATATTGTTCAGTCTTAATAATATTGTAAATATTTAAAGTACAGAATTATTATATATATATACATATATACTTTTTCAACAATGCACTTACATTTTTTGTAATTATATACACACACACACACTACATTGTATAAATATTTACTTTCATATAAGGATTAAGTTGATGTAAAAACTAAGCTTATGTTGTTGTTTTAAACTGCAAAATGTATTTCTTATATATATAATATATATACGTATAACATATGAGTGAAAAATATTATTTTTGAGAAAAAAAACCCCACATCTTCTCGTCTTTGCAACATATTGTTTTCTGAATAATACAGGCATTCATCTTTATTATACAGTATGTGATAACTTTGTATTTACATTTTCTGTATGTCTCAGAATTATGAAATATTTATCTGTTTTCTTTCATTTTAAACACTTCCCACAGACTCCCTGAGTTCTCATGTGCAAACTTGTCAAACTGTTCAGACCGCTACTGCTAGTGTATGCTAACCTATTCCCCTGTTATTTCAAACTTAAACTAGCAATGTCAAACTTGTACTAAGGCCAGAGTGATTCAAATTGATATTGATTCTGTTGTGGCAGCTAGCTCACAAGTGAGAAGAATCAACACTGCTGTTCTGAGACTAGGAGGTTTCCCCCATGCTTCATTTCAAACCAAGCAAATAGTTGTTGGATTCAATTACTCTGAACGGGAGTAATAATTTAGTCTGACGTTGAGGAATAAAAACAACATAAAAACAGCAAATAATCTCATGATTAGACAGTCCTTGTGTCAATTGTAGATTAATTATATAAATTAGTACAAATTATTATGTGGATTATTAGCAATTCGTTTTACCTGATATGTTTCAGACCCCCCAAACTTCACCACTCACACCATTTGAACTGAAAATCCCCTCACAAAAGGACAAATGTAAAAACCTCTCCCTACAACATACTATGCTTGGCCACTGTGCAGTTCTAGATTTTTCCACAGACACAATTTTTCGGCTCATCACAAAAGGGGAAAGGAGGAAGGGAAGAGCTTGGAGAGGAAAAACTCACCGGTGCCGATCTTGTGCTTCCCCAGGAAGTCACACCCTGCAGCTCCAGCTGTGGGCCAGGTTAATCAAACAGTAAAAAAAAAAAAAAAAAAAAAAAAAAATTATATATAAAAAAAAATGAACACAAAAGAAACGCCCTGCATTAATAAAGCCAGACCAGCTGGCTTTGAACAGAAACCCTGATGTGGGTTGTGTTGCCCTGCAAACTCTGTTGTTCTGAAAAGGGTGCTATGCATACACACAGAAATGAGACACTAGGTCCCTAAACACACACCCCCATGAAAAAATGGCCCAAAAGATTTGTGGCACAAGTATTTGGCAGTGCCTGATCTCCACCTGTTCCCGTCTCTCCAGGCTCAGAGGTAAATTTAGGCTTGATATATATCAATGACACATTTGTAAGTGCTGGAATTGCTGTAGCAACTGTCATCAAGAACATCAAACAAAATGGGACATGCTTTGCATAAGAACATCCATCTATCTATCTATCTATCTATCTATCTATCTATCTATCTATCTATCATCTATCTATCTATCTATCTATCTATCTATCTATCTATCTATCTATCTATCTATCTATCTATCTATCTATCTATCTATCTATCTATCTATCTATCTATCTATCTATCTATCTATCTATCTGTCTGTCTGTCTGTCTGTCTGTCCATCTATCCTATCCTATCCTATCCTATCCTATCCTATCCTATCCTATCCTATCCTATCCTATCCTATCCTATCCTATCCTGTCTTCTCCTCTCCTCTCCTCTCCTCTCCTCTCCTCTCCTCTCCTCTCCTCTCCTCTCCTCTCCTCTCCTCTCCTCTCCTCTCCTCTCCTCTCCTATCCTATCCTCTCATCTCCTATCCTATCCTATCTCCTATTTCCTATATCCTATCCTATCCTATTTCCTATTTCCTATTTCCTATTTCCTATATCCTATATCCTATCCTGTCCTGTCCTGTCCTGTCCTGTCCTGTCCTGTCCTGTCCTGTCCTTTAAATATAAAAGCATTGTGAGAGTGTGGAATAAAAGTAGTGATTCCTGTCATTGATCGCCATTATTTCTGTATGGTTTAAATTCACACGATAACACATTATACTGACAGTGACACAAAGTGGACTTTCAAGACATATTTATACTAATTAAATTATGAAGGATATTTTAACCTGGAATAGCGCAAGTACAGGGAAGACAAGCATTTACCGCATCAAAAGTGTATTCCCTCGGGTTCACGGAATTCCATTCTCTCAGTGACATCACATTTGTATTGACCCTGTTTACAATATCCTGGGGATTTCTGACCTTTAATGGGAATGGGTTTTGGTAAGAAGGAATGAGTTCATCATACATATCTAATGTTACAATAGCATAATGGGGATTTTATTGAAACGGGGCACAAAAATACGACAAAAACCGGTAAAAGATGTTTGCTTACTGTAAAAACACTGCAACAGGATGTAGCCGAGGTCAGTCACAAGGGAAGAGGAAACTGTTAAGGGGGAAAAAATGCATAATTATCCCTTACTGTACAGAGCACTCAGTATCAAAAGCATAATTTGTTTGTACTGTAAGTGCATTTATTATTGGCCTTCCCCACTTATTGTAACTTAGTTACAATACCAAGCCTCATTCAGCATCCAGAGCGACAACCTGGAAAACTGCATTTCTGAGTCAGCACACCTTTCTCACTTTCTCCTTATTTGCTGTCTCTTTTCTCTCCACTAAATACTCACAGACAGTTCTTTCCTATATTTAATAAACTAATGGGAATGTCTAACATGCTGGAATGTCTCTGTCTTTTCTGGCCATGCTGTTAGAGCGCTCAATGCTGGACACAAGCTGTGTGTTCCAGCGACAGCAGCAGCAGCAGCAGCAGCAGCATGCAGGAGTCTGGCTGTCTGTGCGGCTCTAGAGGAAAGAGGACCAGTGTGGCAATGCACAGCAGCAGAGACGCCCCAACCATCAACCACAGGAGCCAGCCCGGCTCCCCCCATGAGGCACGCTGACTGGACCCAAGTGTGTGTGTGAGGGAGAAAGAGACAGAGAATAAGAGTAGGATTTGTTCGACTTTTTTTATGTGTATATTTTAGTGTGGGAAGTATGTCTGTACTTTACACCATGTGTTCTGTTATCTTAAAGGTGACAGAGGACTAACAGGAAGCCCAAAGCGGCATCTTTCCTGAGGCAGTGTGCCGTGTTTCATTTTTTAGCCTTCAGTGCAATTACTATTTTAGTTTAGTCATTGACAGCACATTAACAGTAATTATCTTGATGATCTACTGACAGATTTATGTTTAGTGATTTGTTTTTATAGCAGCACAGTTAATAAAAAAGTACTTCAGAGCAACAAAATAGCACCAGCATATAAAAAAAACTATAAAAAATGTTAAAAGAAGATTTTTTTTTAACCTTTAATCTTTTAAGTTTAATATTTAATTAAAGTTGTATATTTTTCTTTGATACAATAGAGAAGTATTATGAACCATGTTGATAACATTTACTTTATTTCATTCTTTAAAAAGTTTATGTTTCCAGCAGTATTTGCTCTATGCACTCTGGGCTAATTATTTAAAATATTTAGGCCATTTCATTATTTTGAATATCCCAAATCAAAATATGCCATGACATATGTTGCATACTTCTCAGCTAACTCTCAGCAACTGTGTTTTTGTGTTGGAAATTCCACCGGTGGTCTATATATCAACGGTACTGAGTGGCGTGGGCAGGTTCGAGTCAGCCCTCTCCTTAACACAAGGTCGCTCTGTGTGTGTCCTGCCCAGGAGACTGAGGGGAGCCCACGTTTAACACGCATATCCATCCATTCATTTACACACACATACACATGTGCAAGCACGCTAAGAACATCACATGATTTCATGTTCCATTCTAGAACGTTCTGATGAACTCTGAGCCTGGATAGATCTGATGAAGTACAGAGAAATAAAGGAGGAGGGATTGGGGGCTTGGAGAAGGCGAGAGCTCTAGACAGAGAGCGGGAGAGAGAGAGGTAGGAGTCCACACACCTCTTTCCAAAAACAATATTTTGACTGAAAGGTTAGCCATCTGGATCTTCTGAACGCAGGATTACGGCTGGTGCCTCAACTTATTTTTTTCCCCTATTACCACTCTGGTTGCCACAGACACAGCCACTAGCTTGCATGGAGACCCTCTATGATGACAACCACCCTGCTGCTGCATGAACAGCTCTCCAATCTACTAAGGGGAAACAATGGGTTATCTGAGTATGCTTTAAAATAGCAGACCTAGGATACATGGAAAATAGTCAAGAACTATTTTACTTCACCGGTTTACATTTATATAAAGAACATTGCTACGTTCGACACCGGCTCACTTAAAGAATGTGCTATTCTACCATATATCAAACTAGATTTGTCAACTGCATCCTTCTGAATGTTCATTAAATGAAATGGTGCTCAAAATGTGTTGCTCTTAATAATAAGAATTAATTGGACAATTATAGTTCTCTACTAGCTTCACATTACATATATTTTAAATAACAGTCACAAATGCATGGGAAGCAGTCATATGTAAAATGTGTTTTGGCAGCAGCAGGTTCTTTGTTATTAGTTAGATTGGTTTTAGGACCTGTTTACACCTGGTATTGGTCGATCGGATCACAAGTAGACAAGGGAGACACATTCCCGTTACACCTAGTGTTTTAATCTGTCTCTTTTGTAAACTTTTGACCACTTATGTCCTGATTTCTTTGAGGGGAGGGTCTATGAGCAGGTAAATGGACGAAATAAGCTTTCGATCTAATGGACGAAATAAGCTCACAAAATGTACATATGAACGTGAAAGGAGACAGCGGAAAAAACACGGAGAGCAGAAGCTTTCGTTTCTGCTCTGATAGCTGCAAGACCACGGCGAACGCGGGGAGTGCGTGTTGGAAATCAGGAATGGTGAGAGAACATTGTTCTTGATATGAAACATTCTCAGCTTTCAAATTTAGTCTTTTCTTTAAGAAATTTAAACAGTAAATAAAGTTTTGTGGCTCTTTAATGTGTAGTGACAGATGTAGCTGTAGCACCTCAGTTAAAGCTGCTTGTGAATCGATCATCTCTTCCTTCTAGTTCATTTATAGCATCAAATAAACATGAATGAACATCAGAAGGAATGTTGTTTCAACCGTGGAAAGACATCAGTACACACCGTTTTTCAAGTTCAAGTCCACCAACGATAATCTATCTCTCCTGACCGTCGGACAAAATGGCAGATTCTGCGGATGGCGGATTATGATTGGTCAGATCCCCTGTCAATCAAACTCTTGGCGAAGGGTGAATTGAACTGTTTTTTTTTGTATTGCTGTATATATTGTTTATTTACCTTACTATACAATTTATGTTTTTTTTATTTTGTTTTTTATTTTATAATGAAAAAATGAAAATCTACACACTTTTATTATCTGTTTTAAAAAAATCACATGAACATATGGCCTGTTTTCAATTCACTTCATTTGAAAATGCCATAGATCTTCACATCTCAATCTCCTAAGTGCTTACAGATCTCGATCCTGAACGCTCTGGCAGGTGTCCATGGCAACCTGAGAGCGCACTCAACCCCACTCATTCTCTGTCTGCTTCACTCACTCTCCGAGTTTCTCCGAGCATGCCCTGAGCACTGTGAAAGTGGCAGCTTTTATCTTCTAATTAGATGGAAGGAACTCACCTCAAGGTAAGAGCAAGTGGGGCAAGACCCTGCATGGCCCTTTCATCTAAGTTATCTCGGTACTGTATATCTGTTTCATAATCCGGGATTTATTCTAAAGACTAAATTTAATAAGTCAGCTCCCATAATGGGACTTTGACATAGATTGTTCATGTCAAATGAAGAACATCTCAGTTTGTTTTCATAACAAAACTGAAACGCGACGAAGCAGAACAAAGAGTAAACTACTTTTCAGGAAGGTGATGGAAAGACCCCAAGTGTGTTTGGAGGAAGCAAAGGCATCTCACCTAAAGGGAGCAGCTCAATGAGACCCTTTCATGTGCCCTACGTTGGGCGCCACATATACAGATCGAGCGCTTACATATGTGCATCCCTCTGTTTCTCTCCAGCCCGCTCTTTCTTAGCAGCTCTGTCTCC